CCCACGGCCGCCGGCCCGCGCGATTATTTATGGTCCCTCGCAGACTCTTTTTCGATATACATATTATATATATAAATATATAAATATAATATAAGTATAATTACTGTAAGATTGTATATTCTTAATTAAACGCAACGTGCTGGCGAGCGCGCGCGTGGTCGCTGGGGTGACTTGAAATAAAATTGAAAACTGCACACGACCACACATACATACACATACACACACACACACACACACACACACACACACACACACACACACATATTTAACACGTATAGGCATGTACACAACAACGAATAAACACATACACAAAATATAAATACGCACGGGGGGGTTGCGGGCGACGGTTTGCCAATTTTCGCGAGGGGCTTTCACTTACGAACGGGCGACGCCCGCGTGTCCTGCGTGTTCCGCAGTAAGGAGACCTCTGCCGCCTCCGGAAAAACTTTTGTGTATTATTTCTAACAGAATGTAATAAAGTAAAGTTTAAACAGACGATCATTTTCTCTTCCCTTTCTCTGTGTTTCCTATATTAGAAAATTAATCTAATACTCCATATATACCTAAATTATGTAGTATGAATAAAATGAAATGTAAATCATACAATATCTCATTAAATCTTAATATATCACAGTGTAATATTGACGCTTTACGATTAGAAAATCTGCAATATATGATTTTCTATTTCGTAATGCTGTTTATAATTCATTTATAATTCAGCAAAATGTTAGCAGTACATTAGCAGTTTGCTGATTAGAATTAGCATCATTCACATTAATCTTATTTTCTGTCAGAAATGGTAGGTTTTGTTTGATATATATATATATATATATATATTATTCTAAGAATATGATGAGTGATGACAGTCTATCTGTTACATTCTATTAATATTCTTTTATTATTTTTATTGGAATTCTACCAACATGATTTATAATAGATACTATAAAATTTCTAACAAATTTGGCTATCAGGGTATTATTTAAATAGTTATAAAATAACAGATTCTGTAATAATTCTTAAAATTTCTGTTTAATAAATTTAATAATTTTAAAAATCTTTATCAAGGTGTAATAACCAATTATAGCGCATTCTAATAATGTCTTTCCAATGACGAAAAATCATTACTACAAGTAGCTATTACTATGAAAGTAGTTATTAACTTAACAAAAAATTATTCTCCTTAATAAACTTATTAATAATTTTTAATTTATCTTGAAATGACTATTTAAATTTTCGTTTGTGACCGATATTTGTAGTCTGTATTTATTTTAACACCGTCTGAAGTAATATTCTACCTATTATGACTTTGTGATAAGATAATCTTAAATATAAAAGAATCAACTATGAATACCCGCCTTGTAACTCGCAGCATTTCAACTCGCAGTTATATGTAATATTTCTCGGCAAGTATCGTCGCCTAAATAAAATTCAGTCGAAACAACAATTTCTCTACTTATTCTACACTTAAATTAAAACGTATTACGTCATGTTTCGGAGACATGTGTTACATCGATTTAAATTATACGACATACATTGTATAATAATCCATTAAAGACAAAAAACATACAATAGCACATGGAAAAATATATAATTCAATAAAACTGCCACGTTCCTTGGAGTACCGTTGATGTTTATTACATCAATTTATCCTTCATAAGAAGACAGTTGATATATTCATCGCATTGCGAAGACAGATAAAAACAACCCGTGATATTTAAGAACGTTTTATCTGTTATGACAAAATTTTTCCGTGGTGCTATCGGCGAGGAATTATCGGAGAATATAGTCAGACGTTTGTTAACGATCGAGACGAGCAGAAGTGAACAACGAGCCATCCTGCTGGTAAGTCTATCTTTTTAATCTCTTTCATTTACGCGAATTTTCAAGCATTACAATTTTTTCGAGATACTATTAGTTCCTCTGCATATTGCATTATCGGTAAAATTATAAATGTTCTATTTGCATTATCAATAAAATTAGAACTTTAAATCATGCAATAATCGATTAACAAGATATATTCTGTCAAGTCGAAACCTATCACAATTACATGACATTGTACAAAAACAATCGCCTATATATTATTATAAAATATTAATTTATCTTAATACGAAGCTCTTCAAGTCATTTTGGAAATGATCATTTTAAATTATAAAATGAGAGCATGTATTTTAGATCTACTATAAGCCTTTCTACGCTTTATTTTGGAAATTATGTATTTATTTGTTATTACTCTTTGAATTACATAATGCGCTTCTGTTACATATGACGTCGCTTATTATATATGTTGTAATATCGCTGCGTGTTCGCAGTAATATTATGTCATTATCTATCCTTATATTATAAAGTATCAATTAGAAAATATGAAACGTTTTTAAAACGTTATAATAATATAAATTATAAGAATACATTTTGCAAGGGAAGAATCGAGAATAAAATACTAAAAAATACTAGAAAAATTTATTAATAAAAATTTTGCAAGTATTTCGTTAAATAAAGTTTCCATATAAAATCATTCAATACTTTCAGAATTGGCAAAGAAGTTCGTAAAATTTACAAATGACAAAAAATTTTCATTGAAATCGGTGAGTCAATCTACATGGCCTCTTCTCGATTAGATTTATTGTAAATTTTCTTATAATTCATTTTCAAGATAAATTAATATACATATAACAATATTTTCGTTACAGACTGCAACTATTAATTCTTGGGGCGATAGGATGGCAGCATATGTGTGTATCGAAGACTACGAGAAGCATGCTCTGGAACATTTGACTCCTTCCATAAGGGATTACTACAGAGGCGGCGCAGGAGAAGAATACAGCGTAAAATGGAATAAGGAAGCTTTTAAAAAGTAATATAAATCTATCTAATCTAAAATTAAAGACAATAGTAAATAGAAATCAACCAAAAAACGATCAACATAAATGTTTTTGCGTTAATTACAATTTGCCATTCAAACAAAAATATTATTGATCAAATATGGTCTTCTTTGCTTATCTGTGTTAAAAGTAAAGAAATAGAAAAGATTTTGAGAAAGAAAAAGAGAAATAAGAAATAAATAATAAGTTTGATATGAAATATTTGATCTGAAAAGGTATTACTATTTTTTTTAGATATCTATATTGCATATATATGATTCCTTAATTAATTCATAGAGCTGAAAGATAGGATATATGTATATTCTTCATATAGATTGGCGATTAAAAATGTGACTGTTCTAATTTTTGATCATTTTTAATATTTTTGCAGTTACAGGATACGTCCCAGATTTTTGCGAAACGTGTCTGAAAGGGATATAAGCACGACGGTGTTGGGTCACAAAGTCTCAATGCCCTTGGGAGTCGCACCTACCGCGATGCAACGTATGGCACATCCTGATGGAGAGTGCGCCAATGCAAGGGGTAAGTAGACGTTTTGCGAAATATTTCTTATATAATGCAATGAGATATTGACACTTGGGGTTGCTGCTTAATTAGAACTATAATTTTATTGCATACTGTACTTTTTATTAATAGATTGGTATGTTACGTTTATTGTAAAATATATAAGGATGTTTTTTAATACAAACGTGTATATTAAATCATATAAATATGCTATAATAATCAAAGATTAGCCCAGACACACCAACGATCACAGATAGTTAACAATACTTCTTTAACATTCATTCCATAATTGTCAAAGATCCGCGCTCAAACATAAACGAATATACTGATTAATATAAAGAATAAATGCTCCAATTTCTTCTTTTATATATATATATATATAATTATTAACTCCATGAAACGCTCTATTTTTACAGTTTTGATTTTTCGAGTATATCGTAGAATAACTTTCAAGAAACACTCATATTTTTTTCTATATTTAACTAGAATACAACAGAAAATTTTTAAGACAATATATTACGTGGCAATATGTATCTTTAATCCTTTCCTTAATAAAATATTTCAAAGAAAAGTTATATTATGAAAGAATCTAAAACTAATATAAAAAATACATATTTGTTATTTATTTACAATTTGTTGTATTATTTAATATCTGCATATTATAAGAAAAAATATTATGTACTTTATGTTTGAAGTTATTCTATAATTTACTCATGTATATGAAAATGGAAAACGATTTTATATATCTTTCCTTTCGTTTTTTTAAAACAATTTTATTTACTAAAGTATAGTTCATAATACTTATTTATATGGGTTAATGACAATGGAATGAATTCAACGAATAGTTAAAATTATTATACAAGATATGTCACATACATTATTATAAGCTATTTTTTCAGAAATTTAGAGATTGTAAAGAGGATTTAATTTTGTGTTCATAGAATTTTTTTATGCGCCATACAAAAAAATAAAGATCTTAAGAAATCACAAAATTTTAATATAATTTCTAATAATTAATAAGAAAAAATAGTTTGTAACATTTTATGTGATTCGAACTGCATAAATCATATTCATGATTTCTCGATAGACTTTAAAACTTGATTCGTTAAAGAAAGTTCTGTTTTAACAAAAAACATTTTCATTATAATACAAATAAAATAATATCAGTCCTGCTTAGTCGTGCTGCGTTGGGAAAGGTTATAATGTTTACCGTAATATTAATTTGAGCGAAAAGTGAAACTTAAATGCTAAGATCATTATCGTACCGTACTCCTACGTATGGCTATGTGATGTAAGACACGATAGAACGCTTGTGCGATATGTATAGACATATCCGTCGATATGAAGACCGCTTGTTATTCGGATTGCACATTCAAAGAACGAAAATTTCGCTACGTGCAAATTACTCGGACTGCGCGTTGATCGAGTCTTACTTTTCGTTGCTTATTAACACAAGTTCAGTATGTTGTTCAACTTGAAATTTGCGATGACTAGTAACCAGGAATAAAAAGATCCTTAGAGTTCTATGATCCATTTCTACCAATGTAGAGTAACTTTAATCTCAGCTTAATTTATTTTTTATCTTTTTCTAATCCTTAGAAATAGAAAAAGAATAAAAAGTAAGTTAATCTACATTGACAGAATTGGGTCTATAACGAGTAAGAATTCGGCGCGAGCCTACTATTCAAGAAACATTATGGCAGTACAAGAAAGGAAGAGAGTTCACTTGAGCTTGGGTCCTATGTTCTCCCAATTATTGATCGCCTTCATGTTAACTTGTTCTATCCGCCATTTCTGAGTAGATGATGATTTGTCGCATATAGTCACAAACACTCTTTTACTGCTCGGATCGGTGTCTAGGCATCTAGACGAGTAACCATGCTGCAGCCACTGCTTTTCAATATCATAACGCCACAACTGATTGCCCTGTTTTCCATGGCAAGGATACAAGTTCACTGGTGCTTTCTCTTCGCCTTTGGATACATCCAAGCATTCCGTGCGATCTTTCGGCCTGATGTCCTTATGCCAGGTCAATCGGAACTCTTGTTCACCCGACACTTTTTGATCATCTTTCATGCAGGTGTCCACCACGACAAGCTCATCCCTCTTCCGCTTCTTCGAGTCTAAACATAGTTCGGTCACGCCCATGTTCCTAATCTCTCCGTAAGCGAAATCGTCTGGCTCGATGGGTGGATACACCTCCACAAGATCGAAGGCTATGTTCTTCATGAACCAGTTAAAGGGTTTACAGTGCAATTTCTTGCGCAAAGCCTTTTGCTCCGACAAATCTCCCGGATCCAATGTCCGCAAGTGCGGTCGTCTCTTGTAGAGGTATTCCGCGTATTCGTCCATCCATACCTCAGCAACTCTTTTGAAGTTCTTTTCCAGAAAGTCGCCGCGGCCGGGATTAGGGAATGGTGGGAATTTACGATAGACATGACCGACTCTGGAGCACGGTGCGTCATACATTTGACCGCCGCATTGCCAGATTTTGAAGGACAGCTCATATTGTTCACCACCCCATATATCCAAGCCCGGATCGTAACCGCCCAATTCCCAGAAGAATTTCGCGCTGATCGCAAACAGACCGCCTGCCATTATAGGACTCTTGAACGGTTCTGTGGGTCTCTTTAGATCTTCTGGAAGTAATGGAAGCCGCTTGTAATACAACTCCCAATCAAATGCCCCTCGAAGGCCTTCATCTTGCGCTAAATATTCAAAAGTCTCATAATCTATCACATCAATGAACGGACAAACACAGGTTTTATAGTTTTGCGCGATGGGTTCTAACAACGGCGGCAGCCAATTCACATTAGCTTCGCTGTGAGAGTCCAAGAACACGAGAACCTTCGCTCTCGCCTTCTTTGCACCCGCCAATCGGCCTCTGATCAATCCCGAGCGTTTTGGTAATCGTACGATCGATACCTTCGGCAAATGCTGGGCAACATAATCATCTAGTTTCTTTTTTAACTCGACTTTCGTGCTGGCGTCGTCGACCAATATAATCTCTTCTAGAAGGGAAGGCGGCGAACGATTAACCACGCTCCAGCAGGTTCGCAGTAACGTACTGAAATGCTCGTTGTGGAAGGACACTATCACAGAAACGGGATCCAGGTTCTTCAAATATTTCTTCTTTCTACAATCTGGATGGCGAATGTCAGGTACTGAACGATTCATTGAGATCTCATCGCTGACTGCTGCATTGAATCCATTTACTTGATACAATTTTTCTTTTAACACGTCGAGGGATGGAGAAAGAAAGGCTGGTCTTCCATGTTCTCCTATCCCCGTACATTTTTCCTCTTCCTGAATTTTCTTGTAGTCATGCCAATCAATTTTGTCATCCAAATCCTGTAAAATACGTTGCTATTAATAATCAGGGATGGTGAGCTCTTGTCTATTTTTGTTTATAGAGAAGCTTGCAGAAACAAGATAATTTTGAAAAACAATCCATTTTTCACATTAAACAGTATTATTACTATGTTATAAAATAATCGATGGTGACGATATATGAATAAATAGTAAAAAATCGGCAATGACATCTTTTGCGACTGTAAAAATGCTAATGAACAACTGGTTTGGGCATGCAATCGTGTTGGCACATTCCTGATCACTAGGAATGCAAAAGAGGTGCAAATAAAACTCGTTTGCTAACTGTTATGTGCATATGAGGAAAGTAGGTTTTTAAGTATGCATGCGCACAAGATGAACTCATAATATCCGGTATGATATCTAATGTCTCGACTGCTGATACCATAAATGACACGCATATTAATTATAAACACAATAATTCAAGTAATCATTCTTTTACCATGTCAGCGGGAAATTGAACTGAATGAAATTACAACGGTTCTAATTCTCTCTTGTGTTTAACGTCTGACGCGAGATTTATTCTGTTGTGACTTTTTCTCGCAACAAGAATCGAACTCGATGAAATGCATACTGAGTTCCATTTCTCCGTAAGCAAAATGATTAGATAATAGTATGCAATTTATTAAACTCTGTTCTGTCAGCAGAGCCTGCCGACATAATCTGATAACAGTTTGACAGCAAAAAACCGAGTAGAATCATTTCTTAATCACACAATTGGAACATATCATTTAAATGATTACAAAGTGGTACATTCTTCTTAAACCAATATATAGAAAATTCTACATTTTTCTTAGTTTCTGTAATTTATTATTACGTTTTATTAACATAAATAAACCCTATGAAGCTAATTTGTTTTCAATACATTTGAATACAAATTAAATGAAACGGCAGATTTTGCCATTCAATCAGCCATCACATTCTGTAAAGATTTTAATTTCTGTTAACATTCTATTAACATAATTTATAACATTGTAAAATTTGTTCTTAACAAATTTGGCTATTATTTAAATGGTTACGAAATGACAGATTCTGTTTGGTTTATGTAATTAATCTACTGTAACTATTTTGTTAATAGATCTTATGATGTTTTTGTTGACATTCTGCCAATCAAATTTGTAATACATAATTAATAAAATCTGTTTTTGATAGATTTGGCTATCATGAGATATTCTTTAAATGGTGAAGAAATGACAGATTCTGCTCGATTTTTACAATCAAGAGAAAAATTTCTAGTTAAAGATTCTGATCTCTATCAATCAGAATTCTGTTATCTCTCCATTAAACAGCACTTCATTAAACAGATGTTGTGTTTCTATTAGCAATCTATAAAAAAAATTTGTAGATACTTTGGAAAATCGGTTTCTGACAGACTTACTATCTGAATTATAAAATCATTAAATGTTTAAAATCACAAATTCTGCAATCAATTATATTCTATTAACAGAATATTTGTTACGTTGCTGCTGGCATTTCTGTCAACAAAATTTGTAACAGACACACCTAACTTGCTTAAGTTAATATAAATAAAATAAATATAAACAATAAACTTCACTATAGATAATTTCACTATAAATATTGGATTCTTGTCCACGATGAAGTCTGATCAGGGGGTTGATTGTCTATCTTAAACTGAGATAAAAATGATAAAAGTGAGCGAATTTGTTGGAATATTTATAATTTCATTAGTCAACATCTAGTGAATCTGCTCACTTTTGTAACTTTTCTCGTTTCAAGATACACAATTAATCGACCTTCTGATACGGAATTCGGCTTCTCGTTTGTACCTGACGTAAATGCTCGTCGTTCCCTCGAACGCCGTCGTCCACCACTGCCGCCGCCAGGGTGTCGAGTGACGTCGAGATTCGGCGGTTGGGCAATCGCGCGTAGTGGAACACCACGACGGTCAGGAACACGGTGAACGCCGCCAGGAGGAGGAACTTGACCAAGCTGATTACGTTTCGCCTCATCTTCGCGAGAGGATCATGTCTCGCGAGCCTCCTGGAGCCTCCCTAATGAAGACTACGGGCACAATGCTTGTATTCATAGTCAGGCCTTATATTTAAGGTTTCCTCTTAAATTTATCTTCGGATGCTCTACGAATTATTTTATTGGCTACGAGCATCTAAAAATAAATTTAATGAAACCTTAAATATAAGGTCTGATTATAAATACGGACATTAACCTCACCTCTTATGACTTATCTCGTCGCGTGAACGTGGCAGACGCAGGCGGGCCTCGCACTGTAAACGGATGCGTTGTCCGTCATCGCCGCTGTGCGGCGACCGGGAGATCTCGAGTTGTATGATTGTATCTATTGACTACTCGACTCCCGCAGTCCCGCCTGACACTCCGGCGAAAGCATAAGGAACCGATGCAACAAACACACGCACGACTGCCACTTGCCGCAACTTGCAATTGCTGCACGATGACCGATATATTAAAGTGGGTGGGAGGTTACCTTCGTGAGAGAGAAACTTCGTTAAGGAAACTTGTTTTCTCTATTCGGTTCCGCCCGCGCGATCTCGCCTATCGCTCATCTTTTACCGCCTTTGCGAACTTAACGATTCTTATCGATTAGCATCAAAATCTAAGGTCGTAAAATCTTTCGATTATAAGAACCAATTGGTTCTTGCGCAATTCTATGCACGAATGTACCTTTGAATAAGAAATAAGAATATGAATTTTAAGGAAATTATTTATATAAGTAGTCTTTTGCTAAAAATAACTTCGATGAAACTAAAAGATTAATTTAATCGATTATTAGTTCAACTAGTAAAATAATCGCTTGAAGAAAAATTTCTAATTACTATATATAATTGTTTTTTAGCTTTCTTTTCATTGCTTCAAGCAAAAATGTATACTTTTATTATAAGAAATTAATCATTAATTGAATTAATTGGCGATTAATTTAATCAACAGAATTGTTTGCAAACTTCTAATAATTTAACTCGTTTTTTTTAAACTAATCTTTTTTCGTGTGTTATTGAATAATTAAATTTTATTGTTAATTTTATTTTTAAACAAAAAATTAAGAGTTTAAGCCACAATTCAAGCTAACAAAATATTGCTGACATTGCTTGATATAAACTATAATTACTAATTAACTTAATTTCATTGGCGGAATTGCTTGCATTTCTAACTATTCTCTGATCCTTCCATGTTTTAAGCAGCACAAGAATGAATAATAATGCTATTTTCATGCTTATAAAATACGAACACCATTATATAATATATACATATATAATATAATTACTGTATAAATTAATTTTCGACTAATTGTAGTTAAGTAACTAAAGTTGGTCGAAATCACCTTCAGAGATGATCCAAACCTTTGATATTGTTTGTTTAAAATTATTTCTAAAGTTGAATTTCGAAGAGTTAACTTCGATTAAAAATGTCGTTGTTAATTGCGGATATGACCTTGTTAATTTGTTTTAGCATGTTTTATCCTGATTTACTTTCTGCAACGGTAATTTGCGACGTCATATCGCCCTGTATTTTTTGCTATTGAAATTAAAGCGCGTTATATCGTTGCAGTATTCCAACTAATAGTATTAATACCAGGGTTGGGAAGTTAACTTTTTTTTTAACTAAATTAAATTAAAATTAATAGCCTTGAAAATTTAACTTGATTAAAATACAAGTTGATCCATAATAAAATTAATTGAATTAAAAGTTAAGTTAATAAAAAAAAAAGTAATTGAAAAGTTAAAAGTTAAATTTGGTCCGAACGAAAAATAAAAAAAAAAGAAAAAGAAAAAGTTTGACAGTTTTACATAATTTTTCGTATTTTTCCTTTCTCACATCATATTTAATAAAGAATCTGGTTATATTTGTTCACAAGTCAACGATTATACAATATAAAATTACTAAATTATATACTCATTATCCTCTCGCATTATGTTTAAGGATTGACTTAAAAAAAATCAAATTAAAAGTTAATAGTTACTGATAAAATGTAACTAAATTAAGTTAAAAAGTTAAAAGTGTATAATGTAACTAAGTTAAGTTAAAATTAATTAACTTTTTAACTTAACTTTTATCTTTTTAATTTAACTTTCATCTTTTTAACTTAACACTACCCAACCCTGACTAATACTAGTATTGTAAATCTAGATTTCACCTGTACGATTACGTCATGCATTCTGCAACACGTGTAACTTTTGTATTATTCGTAACTCATGCAACAGATCTTCTTGTGAAAGATGCATATGGAAGTAACAATTAATAAACGTTTCTTTCGCATTGTACTATTTTCGTGACATCATTTCGTACTGTCGTCTTTTGTTAAAAGATGTAAGACGTTTAAAAATTCTATGTAATTGTCAATTAACTTGTATCCTTTTCGACAATTTAAAATCGTACGTACAAAATATGCGTATCACCAATTAAATATAGTTAGCATACCTTTTGGCGAGACATTTAATAGTACTATTTTATCAATATGTCTAATAATACATGTCAGTGTATTATAATTTCTTAACACGGATAGAAATATTATAGTGTTTTGTTGTTCAACATATGGAAGAAATGTTAAATTAAGAACAATGAATTATATAGTTAGAAATTTTTTGCTTTAAGCTTCTGTTGGTTCATTTAATCACTTAAGTTAATGTATATACATAAACTCCAATTAATTTAATCGATTAATTCAATCAGCAGATCGCTTAAAGCAAAATTTCTAATTGAATAAAACTGTTCGAATATTTTATCATATAATAAATATATACAATTATGTATAATATATACATATGTATTATATATATGTATAATAAAATATTTGGACAGCTTTATTCAATTAATTATAGATATATTATTAAAATTTTTTTACTATAAATAGTTTTGTCACTTTTGTCTATTTGTAGCTGCTCAAGCAGCAGGAACGATTTTCATTCTTTCGACGATATCCACGAGCAGTATAGAGGAAGTGACAGAAGCTGCGCCGAAGGGTATAAAATGGCTCCAGCTCTATGTTTATACTGATAGGAATGTTACCTTAAATTTGATAAAACGTGCCGAACGTGCTGGTTTCAAAGCGCTGGTTCTCACTATCGATGCGCCAATTTTTGGTGATCGACGCGCCGATTTGAGAAATAAATTTGCATTGCCTAATCATTTGAGGTAGGCATTCAGAGATATGTAGGAAATATTGAATATGTAAATGTATTTGTATAAAAATACATATATCTCTCTCATACGTAGATGAGTAGTTTGAATTAGTTAGTAAATTGCTATTAACTGTAAAAAGAATACAAAGAGATAATGAAGGCAGTATTTGTAAGAGTTCTATGCTTAAAATTAAAAAAAAGTATTTTTCATTTCTTATACTTTTCAAAGCTAGTCTACCAAGAAAAACTTAGATTATTTTTCAATGTTTATAAATATAAAAAATTAATTAATTTTATAAATTTAAAATAAATAAAAGATATAGAATATATAGACACAATAACATCCCTACATATATTATGTATTTTAAATTTAAGTGAAATTTATGATAATGTACGGTAAAAATAGAATTTTACGTCTTTGCTTTAGATTCGCAAATTTCCAAGGTGATTTATCGAAACGAATAAATTCAGCGAAGACTGGCTCCGGTCTTAATGAATATGTTACTGCACTATTCGATACATCTCTTTCCTGGGATGACGTAAAATGGCTTAAAAGGTATCTGCTTATCATTGTTTGTGAACTTTCTTTATCTTGACATTTTGGAACAGTAAATCTTTTACCATACAACGAGCAAATCAAATATCGATTCGAATCAAATTTGTCGTAGAATTACAACACTATCGGTAATTCTTAAAGGAGTATTAACGGTAGAGGATGCACGTTTAGCCGTGGAAAATGGGGCTGATGGCATTATAGTATCAAATCACGGTGCGCGTCAGATAGATAGTGTTCCAGCAACGGTTGGTTCATTTCTCGTTTAAACAGCTTTCGATATTGAAAACTTAGAGTATTAGACAATCATTTAGAAGATTATATAGTATATACTGTACGTGAATTATTGAAATAATTGTATTCGCAGATCGAAGTTTTACCTGAAATAAGTAAAGCTGTAGGAGATAAAGTAGAAATCTATATGGATGGTGGAGTGACGCAAGGCATCGACGTGTTCAAAGCATTGGCATTGGGTGCAAAAATGGTATTCATTGAACATACCTTGATCAAAAAGTTCCCGGAATTCATTCAGAAAATTCAAAATACAAGTTTATTCATCAAAAGTGGTATTGTCCCCTTCAAAGTACTCCCCATCGACTGCAACGCACTTATGCCAGCGCTTGATCCAACTCTCGAAACATTTCTGGAACTCTATTGTCGGTATAGCCATCAGAGCCGTCTTCGATTTTTCCATTACCTCTTAGTAGTGGTTTTTTGACTCGATCGAACAGAAAAAAATCGCAAGGATCCATATCGGGTGAATTCGATGGCTGTTGGATGGTATTCGTTTCGTTCTTGGTCAAAAAATTTAATACAAACTCGTTGTTGCAAATTCAACTCCATTTTTAAAACTGTAGAAAATCGAAAACACGTGCAGAGGTAGATGTACTCAAGACGACGTAACTTTTACAAATGTCAAGCTATGGCGATAAAATTTGATGGAAATGTCAATGATAGATGTGGCAACCTAACCAAAAAAACAGAACTCAAATCAGCTGATGCAGAGCATCACCTGGTGGTAATTCCGGGAACTTTTTGATCAGATGTATATATATATATATATTACACTTTGATCAAAAAGTTCCCGGAATTACCACCAGGTGATGCTCTGCGTCAGCTGATTTGAGTTCTGTTTTTTTTGGTTTCTGCACGTGTTTTCGATTTTTTACAATTTTAAAAATGGAGTTGAATTTGCAACAACGAGTTTGTATTAAATTTTGCGTTAAAAATGGATTCAATGGTGCGAAAACCTTGAAAATGTTGGGGAACTGTTTCGGCAGTGATGCTCTAAAGAAAACAACCGTTTACGAGTGGCATGAACGCTTCAGAAGTGGTCGTGAATCCGTCGAGGATGACGAACGCAGCGGCAGGCCGTCGACATCGAAAACCGACGAAAACATCAATAAAGTGAGAGAAATGTTGATCAATAATCGCAAGTTAACTATCAGAGAGCTGGCAGAGGACTTAAACATTGC